AGGCCAGCTGAGTCTGGCTTCTGTGGCCCAGGTGTCTACAGGGAGTAGGTTTCTGCTGGACTTGGTGACTGGTTATGCACACAGCACATGAGTTAATGTGTTTGAACAATGTCACAATGGTACTGAAACCTGAGTCACAGGCTGACAGTTCACATCCACTGACTCCAGGGAGGGTTCTGGATGCACAAGGGTATGGGGATGTGCACTCGAATGCTCCTATGCCACACACACACACACACACACACACACACACACACACACACACACACACACACACGCAGTGCATCCACACAGTTCCTTGCACTCTTGAGTGTGTAAAGGTCATGCTAGTTTCAGCTTCTCCGGGTCCAGGGTTTCACTCCCCTTTGGGACAGTGGTGGCAGTGGGGTCAGTATGACAGCCCACACTGAGTCCTAGAGCTCCTGAAGGAGGCCACCCCACATCTGATGACCACTCCCAAGGAGAGAACGTGCTGACATTCTTGTCACTCCAGGAGAAGTGGGGACAAGTTGGGCTGACAGGTTCCCATGGCAAGGGTGACCCTTGTCTAGCTGAGACATCTCAGACCCAGTGACCTGGCTTATGTTCCCCCAGGGAAGCCTGATGGCTCCACGGTGACCCAACGCATCCGGATGGAGATGCGCAAAGTGGATGCCGTCTTCGTGGGCACTGGGGACCTCTTCGCTGCCATGCTTCTGGCGTGGACACACAAGCACCCAGACAACCTGAAGGTCAGTTGTCCATGTTGCTCCTCTACACAACTTCCTCTGTGCTTCCGGTGGGAAAATAGGTTAATGTGGTCCAAACAGGGTAGGGAGATTGGAGGTGGGGGGCCGGAAACCAGGTTTCATGGGAGCCTGGGCCTGTGCACCAGCTCAGGGGTTTGTGGGAGGTAGAGCTGACTATGGGCTCAGGAACCCACTGTCCCATATATGCTAATGTCAACTTGACACACATTTTAACCAGAGGTATCTGAAAGGAGGAAACCCAATGAAATTGAGAAAATGCCTCCAGAAGATCCAGTTGTAGGGCATTTTCTTCCTTCCTTCCTTCCTTCCTTCCTTCCTTCCTTCCTTCCTTCCTTCCTTCCTTCCTTCCTTCCTTCCTTCCTTTCTTTTTTTCCCCCTTTGTTTTTGAGACAGGGTTTCTCTGTAGTTTTGGTGGCTGTCCTGGATCTCACTCTGTAGACCAGGCTGACCTCAAACTCACAGAGATCCACCTGGCTCTGCCTCCCAAGTGCTGGGATTAAAGGCGTGCGCCACCACCCAGTGGGCATTTTCTTAGTGACTGATGGGAGAGAGCCCAGCCCACTGTGGGTGGTGCCATCCGTGGTCTGAGGTCTATAAGAGAGCAGGCTGAGCAAGTCACCAGGAACAAGCCAGTAAGCAGCACCCCTCCATGACCTCTGCATCAGCTCCTGCCTCCAGCATCCCGCCCTGTTTTGAGGTCTTGTCCTGACTTCCTTCACTGACGAACATATGATATGAAAGTGGAAACTGAATAAGCCCTTTCGTTCCCAAGCTGATTCTACTGACACGCTGGGTGATATTCTGAGCATAGGAACCCTCAAAGTCCACCCCCACAGGGACACACTTCCTTTAACAAGGCCATACCTACTCCAGCAAAGCCACACCTCCTAATATTGCCACTTCGTGTGAGATTATGGGGGACGGTTACATTCAAACTGCCACAGTGGTAGAATACTTTCCTAGCAGATACAGGGCCTGGGTCCCATCCCAGCAGAGCAAACACAAAAGAAGAAGAATGCAAAGTTGGAAGGACCCCTCCCCCAGTGCAGACTGACCCTGCCTGCAGACTGCTACCCACAGCCTCGATGTCCCGCAGTGTGTGCCCGTGGGGCACAGCTGGGTGAGGGCTGCCTTCCTTTAGACTGGGGGAAGGGGAGAAAGGCTGTCACCTAGGAGAGACAGTTGGATGTGGGGACCTGGACGTGGGTTCCCTGGTGCTGTCCCACCGTCCACTCCACCCCGCTCTGACCTGTCTCTGGCTCCTTGCTTATATGCTGGAGAGGGAGACGGACTCCCATGTGTCAAGTCCCCTGAAAACTCTGAAGTTAAGTCTAGAAGGTTCACTCCCTTTCCGCTCCACTGGCTCTCCAGCCCCTGCCTCCCTCTGGTGCAGGCCAGGCCAGACTTGCCCTGTGTAATTGGCAGCAGTTGGGGGGTTCCCTTTGTGCAGGGCAGCAGAAACTTGCCAGCTGGCCCTCAGAGGAGCCTCACAGAGCAGCTCCCAAGCCAAGGCCTGGATCAGCCAACCCATGTAGGGACTGAGGAGTGTCTGAGTACCTGCTGAGTCCCCCAGGCCTCTGGCCTTGAGAGTTGAGGCCGGCGGTGCTTTCCCTTATAGAGTCTTTAGAACTAATTACTCCCAGGGATTCTGTTCAGTGCCTGCAGTGTGCCAGTGTGCACAGTATTGACAAGCCCCAAGCTGCTGTCCCTCCCCAGGAGACATTTCCATCCACACCGAAGTGGATAATCTAATAGTCAGGGTCTGCTTGGCTCTCTCTCCACGACTGTAACAAAATACCTGAGACAGTTTATAAAGATGAAAGGTTCTTTCCACTCAAGGTTCAAAGGTGTCTATCCACGGTGAGAGGGCCTTGTTGCTTAAGCCCTGTGGCTGTGCATTAGGGTGGGATCCAGGAAGGAGATAAAGAAATTACACTATCCCCTTTCAGAAGCCACCTTCAAGGACCTAAGGACCTGGCACCAGACCTCACTTCCAGAAGCTCTCCTCCCCTCCAATAGCACCTCAGGCAGAGGGCCTGGCCTCTAGCATGGGCTTCAGGGGACACTCCAGATACAGGCTCATGCAGATGCATCTCTGTGGGGGGCTGTTGTGCAGTCAGCCCCACGGGGGCCCAGCTGTGTCCAGTGTGAGTGACTGGGGCAGCTGCTGCTTGTCCTCTGGACAGGGATGCTCAGCCCAGGTGGGCCAAGGCGGTGTCTCTGTCCTCTCCGCAGGTGGCCTGTGAGAAAACCGTGTCCGCCATGCAGCACGTGCTGCAGAGGACCATCCGGTGTGCCAAAGGTACCTGTCCTGGCGCTCTGCCTTTCCTTCCTGTAGGTGGTCCCTGTCTGGAGGAGGGCAGGAGGGAGGGGAGAGCTCTCCCTTCAGCCCCTGCACCCTGCTGCCTGGTGGAAGTGGGGCAGCAGGGGGCGGTGTGGAGCAGCAGCTCCAGTGTGGGGAGGAGGGGGGATGCCTGAGGCTGCATCCCTCCAGCTCTAACCTTGCCTCTGTTCCTCAGCTCAAGCAGGAGAAGGAAAGAAGCCCAGCCCGGCTCAGCTGGAGCTGAGGATGGTCCAGAGCAAAAAGGACATCGAGGACCCCGAGATTGTGGTGCAGGCCACGGTGCTGTGAGGGCCGTGCATTCGCCCCGACACACCGTGTCCCGGGGTCTCTGTTTTCATCCCTGTGAAAGCTGTAACGTCTGCCTTAGAGCCATGACTGACACTTGACATTTTATTCCTTCCTGAGGGTCGGGTCTCAGCTGGTCTCAATGGTGAAAATGTGCCATCATGTTTTTTTAAAAAAATAATAACAAAGCCGTCGCAGAAATATGTGACTCAGAAACATGGCCCCTTCTCCCCCAAGGCTCTGGGCCTACTGACTGCCTCTTGTTGACTCATAGGTGTGTGGGAGGCAGGGTGGAGTAGGCAAGCCTGCTGCCCGTGGACCCTTGTGTTAGCCATGGGCTGCCATTGCCCCCAGATTCCTGCGGGGATTAGGACTAGGCCTGCGGTGGCATTATTTTTAAATTGGGTTAAGTCTTAACCATGGCATCTGGAAGAATTACGCCAAATGTCTTCATTGCCGTTTGGGTCTTACCCTTGCTCCTGCACCAGAGTTTCTGTGTGTGTCTCTGCTGCTCTCTGTGTCTCCGAGGACGTCACACTTACCCAGCTGTGGACTCTGGGAAGGTTTTATGTCCTCATGCTTGGGTAGGCCCACAAGCATGGAGTCACTGTGACGGGGACCCTTTAAGGGCCCCGAACATTCCAGGGGATCTGCGAGCCTCCCGGGTGTCAGCAGGAACTCCTATCACTTGGGAGCGACTTCTGGGGAACTGACCAACCTCGGGGTCGGCTGCTGAGCCTGAGGTGGCTTGGGAAGGTCAGGGAAGGATGCCACACTGGGTTCTTGTGGGAGCTCACCCAGCCCTGGGCCTCAGTTGGCACTGCACATGCCATGTGCTGCTGAGGAGAGCACACTGCTGCAGCCGTGTGTGCACAGAGGAGAGGCAGCCGTGGCCCGTGCCCCCGGGTGGCACACTTAACTGCGGGCTCCTCCCCCCATTTCTGTATTCTGTGCCCACCACCTGCTGAGGGGCAAGAGGCCCTCATGTGAAGCCAGCTCGCTCTCTGCCTCCTTGGAAGTCCTGCTCCTAGAGGGAGTGTACGGGCACTGTGGGTGCAGGGCCATCTCTTAGACCCTTGCAGGAGAGTGTGACAAGTTCCATTTCCATTGCTCAAGTGTGGCTTTCCCAGATGTACATCTTGGAATTTGGGGTCCCTTAGTCCTAGCTGTGAGTGGGGCTGTCCATTTTTGATTGACCTTTATCTCAGCATCCACCCATCCAGTTCTTGAGATTTGCCCCTCCGAAAAACCAAAACCCAAAGAACAAAAAAAAAATGGGAAAAAAGGGGAACAAAATGGGAACCCCAAGAACAAAAGTCCCCCAAGGGGGCCCGGCCGCCAACCAAAAGGGAAACCCAAGAGTGCCACACCCTACCTTAACATAGTCCAGGGTTCCCCTTCCCCAGTTAAAATGCCCTGGATGGAGGAGACACCGGTCCACATGGACTTGCACCAGTCCAACTCTACTTCCCCACCAGCCTGCATCCTGACTTCTCACCTTTCTGGTCTCAGGCTGCAGGATGGCTGAACAGGTAAAGCTGCCTGTTGCCAAGCCTGACAACCTGAGGGACCCACATGGTGGAAGCAGAAAACTGAATCTTGTAAACTGTTCTCTTTCTGTGTTTCTTACACACACACATATGCACACTCACCAAAAAGAAATAAATAAATGTAATTTTAAAAATACCCTTGTTCACTAATATCCTAAGCCAGGTTTAGCTAGCTCTCTGGTGTGTGTTTCCTGGTCCCAATGGCAGGCCCCTGAGCCCCAATTAATGCAGACCAGAAAAGAGAAAGCCATGGCCAGTGGCCTGGAAGGGAGGAACAACCACATCCCCCCAAGTCACAGGAAAAGCCCCTCACTGCCTCCCAGAAAGCAGGGAACAACCATTTTGTCAGCAATGAGGAAAACTTCCTTTTTCCTCTCAGAGTATTGAGGCTGGACGGGAGAGATGGCCATGTTGGTAAAGTACTTGTCGTGGATACACGAGGACCTGAGTTCAGTCCCCAGCACCTAAGTGTGGTCCTGGAGTATGCACCTATAACCTCAGAGCTAGGGAAGTGAAATCTGGAAGTAAAGGAAGACCCCAGATGTTGACCTCTGGCTTCACACACATGCACACAATAAAAGGGTAAGAGCTGTCACAGGGTTGAGGAAAGCCTGTGTGTGTCTGGTGCGATGTGAAGAAGCCCCTGGCAGAGCAGTGCTGGCTGTGCTGGTTTATGTGTGCCGGGGTCTTCATGACCTCACTCTCCACCACACCAGGAGAGCCTTAGCACTTGGCTGTAGCCCAGCGCTAATCGGTGTGGGGATCCTTTCTTGCTTACACAGCTGGGTGAGGGCTCTTTCCTCATGAGAACTTCCTCTAAAGTCCTAAACTTGGGTGTGGTCTGGATCGTCTTCCTGTGTGCTTTGGAGCCCAGGGGACATGAACAGAGGCTGTGGCTCAGGCACGTGACAGAAGAAACAGTGCTTTGAGCGTGAGGCCTGGGCAGAAGCAATGCTTTACAAAGAAATGTCTGCAGCCCTGCCTGCCAGCAAGCACAAGGTCTGCTCCCCTTGTGTCCAAGGCAGAATTGCCTTTCACTCTCAGTTTGCATAGTTCAGTTGTGACATGATGTATTTGGAAATGAAGCTGTGTTAACCTGGTGTTGCCTGCTTCCTGCTGAGGGCTCCCTCTGGTACTGTCTTAGTCCATCACCTTCAGCCTCCCAGAAGACTAAGAGGGAATTCTGACCAGGATGCTTTGGAAATCGTTGCCTGGCCCTGTTGATAATCACGTGCCTCTAGCTTGCTTTTGCAATATGTTAATGATTGTCAAAAAGACGCTGTCCTTTTCTTCAGTTGGGAGAGCCCAGTGTTTAAAAGCTGCTTGATGTTTCAGTGGGGGTGGCCAGGCCTGGCTGCACTGTGCTGAAGTGGGGCATTGAAAGGAGGGGCCTGTGTGCCCCATAGTCTCCCTGGCTTCCCAGTGTGATGTCACCACCGCCAGCTGGGACAGGAGAACAGCACTGGCTGTTACAAGTTAGGCCATGCCCTGTCCTTGTTGAGGAAGGTGGGTCCCTCCTGAAGGAGGCAGGTTGGCCAGGGCAGCACTGAGTCCTCTGCTGTGCCCCTGGGCGGCTCCTGACCCCAGTGTCCAGCTCCCATTGCTTCAAACCTTACATTGTCTGTAGCTGAAAAGTATAGAAAAGAGAAATGAATGTATTTGGGACCCTCCTGCCCTCTGAGCGATCTCTCACTCAGGGTATCTGGTCCATAGTTCTGCAGTTCTCAGGTGCCCGGTGACCACTGGGCTGACCACAGCTTGCCCTGGTCCCCTCCATGCATCTTTCTTTTGGGGCAAGGTATCTATCTGGGCCCAGGGAGGTGCAGGCAAGGACGCAGGCTTTGGTGGTAGCGTCCAGATTCTGTGTGCCCTCCAGAGGGTGCTGCAGCCCAGCCCCCCTCTTTTTTTTTTTTTTTTTACTGTCGTGCTGACATTTGGGGGCTTCTCTTCTATTCAGCCATGCAGCTACTTGTAGTGAGAAACCCTGGAAAGTCAAGTCTGTCCAAGTGACAGGTGGGTGCATGTGCCAGTCTGTTCCTTTCCTACACTTCCTGTGACAGCTTCAAGTGGTGGCTGGCAGGGCATTTTCAGGTTCCAGTCCTGTGGAGCCAGGGTGGGAAGAATTCTGCCTCCTGTTGCACACTTTCAGTCTCCACCAGCAGGGGGCGCAGTGGGACCAGAGTTTTGTCAGCTGCCCAGGCAGAGGCTGCTACCAGCAGCCTAAACAGCAGTCACCAAGCTGGGAGATTTGGTTGGCTGGTTTTTTAGTGTGTAACTCTTTGTGTTAGCATCCAGACTCCAGGAAGCCATGGCTTGGTCAGCACAGGCAGACTTGAAAGTTCCTGAATTTGGTTGCATTTTGAAACGTGTGTGTCTCCTTGTTGTTGACTTTTGTTTGTTCTTGTTGCAGACATTTTTTCCATGCAATAAGTGATTGAAAATAGTGTCATATATGCCCTATTCTCCCTTCATGGCAACTTGATGGTTTCACTTGCTTAAAACCAGGATTTAATGAGTAACCTTAAATTTAACAGTAGTTAATTTTTTTCATGTTATTGGAAATTTTTTTGCCTGGCATGGTGGTACACGCTTGCAATCTGGGACCCTAGAGGCTGAGGCAGGAGGGTGATCGCCATGAAGTAAGACAGTGTCTTTAAACACACGCAGTTATCCCTGGATTTTCTTTTTTTATTTCTGGTAGAAGGGACACAGTTTTCAGACTTCCTCACTGAGGCAGGCAGGAGCATGTCATCAGAGCAGGAGTCTCCATCTTCATCATTTCACCTACCCCGCCTGGGGCTGAGCCCTGGGGAGTACCCACTTCTGGGTGGTGATGGTGATCTGAGCTCCCCCATGCCAGCAGCTCCTCTTTCCTCCTCCTAGCTCACTGTGGGCATTAGTTCCCGGTCTTTCTTCCACAGGACACACATTCCAGGTGAAGGTCCCCCTAAGCCATGGGGACCCCACCCTGCCCCTGTCAGCTCTTAAATAGACAGCTAGGGCTGCCCTGCCCTGAGGCTTTAGGTGGGTGTTAAGAGGGGAGAGCCTGCCACTCAGACCTCCATGCTTGGAAGCTCCCAGAAGGCCTTAGGGTGTAACCATGGCCATGCCTCACTGCCCATCCTATAGAGCCTACAGAGATGTGTAAAGCCAAGGCCGCACCTCACTGCCTTGCAGGGCGAGGCAGTTCCCCATGAAGGCAAGTGGAGGAGCCTTCACCCTTAGTGTGACCTGGGCCAGTGCCGTGGAAGTGTCTGAGCTACATTCTCACAGAGGTCCTGATTCCTGCCTGACATGAGGAGGCCATGCTCTGGGGTGACAGTTGAAGACCCCCAGGCTTAGTACATCTGTCCCATGTCCCACAGAGCAGGAAGGCAGAAGCCTGCTTCCTTCCAACTCAGACCTGATCGGTTCCCACAAAACACCTAAGATCACTTTCTGGATGATGGGAGAGTGAGTCACTAATTTTGGAAATGGTGGTGGATTCTTCATGAACATAGCTCTTGAAGGATGAGACATGGGTGACTTCCTGAGTGCTCTTAGCTTCATAGCTGCCTAATTCCCAATATAGACCTTGTCTTTCTCTATATATATACACACATATAACAAGATTTCCTGAAATTCTTATCCGAATTTCACCCATGTGTTGCAAACCTGGACCAATCAGAAGACGGGCTGGATCTGGGGCTGCCCCGACCTACTCTTCCTTCTCAGAGATCACAACTTTTTGGAAGCTCCAGGCCTTTAGAGCAAAGCACAAGGCTGGCCCACAGCCCCTGCTGTGCAGGAGGGGCTTGCTCTGGGCTCAGGTAGTCTCCAGCCCAAGTCCCCCAGCTCTGTGTACTGTCCCCTGTCAGTGCGTTTGTGGACATGAGCACCTGTCAGCACTCTGTGGTTGTGTCCGTTTTGTGCTGGTCTGTTGACTTCTATGATTATCCACAAATAAATATTTTCATTGCAGTTGTGGTTGGGTGGTTATTTCTCCCAGGCTGCTCCTTGTGGTTCCTGCTCAAAT